ATGTAGTATAAGATTCTTATCTTATTCTATACGATACCTATAGGAATCATAAATAAGATCTGATCTCTAGGGTATAATCATGGGTGTTCTTATAGACGAGTAAATTAATTGGGAAAGGAAAATATATTATTTTAAAGTTTCTTCACCACTCAATATCATTCATGGAACACGTGATGATATAAAAGATTATGTATGCTTTTATTTTCGTCCTCAAACACCAATACAATTTATAAATGAAAATTTAGGTCAAATTGGAAATTATCCAAAAACAATTTGGAAATGATTCCATATGTCCTATTCCAATATTTATAAAAATTTCATTAGAAGATATTTTTAAACATAATAATATTGATTGGAATATTAGTCTTGGAAATTTGACAAGAAAAACAACAGAATATGGTCATACAATGGAGATAATACGTCAATTTGATTTTAATAATGTTTATTCAATTACAAAAACTCCTAGAGATTATGTGAGTTGTCAACAAGAATTTTTAATTAAATCAGAATTATCATTGGATATTATAGAAAATATTGAAATTATTTGTCAAGATATTGCAACAGTTGAATGTCTTAAATCTATGTTAGATAATGATAATCAATTTAAAACAAAAATCAAATATAGTGAACAATTATCTAAAAGTTTATATTTAAATAAAAATCCTAAATTTGTTCTTAGACCATCGAATGAAAATCAATATTTATTAAAATTACGTATGCCAGAACAGAAAAAATTTGATAAATTAATTTTACAATATTCAAATAAAATTAATTATAATTATACAACAAATAGTGATGATTTAAATGATTTTTCTCAAACAGAAAATATTGTTACAATTTATGGTGATGAACAACTAATGGTTTTGACTGATATAAAAAATATTAATTATGCCATTTATTATGTACATCAAGGACAATTATGGTTAATACAAGCGAATTATAAAAATCCTAAATTTACATTACCAATTGTAAGACAAACATTAAAATCAATATTGGAGAATACTGAATTAATTCCTAATCCAAATCAAATAATTGATACATTAATGATGTTTCCTTTCTTAGAATTTTTATATAATCAAATGATGAATAATTCTGAAAGTTTAAAACAATATACACTAAAAATAATAGAAATATTTCAAAAATATTTTTTGAAACAAAATAGACTAGTATCTCGAAGTTTTTATATGTTATTGGCTATTCATGCTCTTGGATTACCACAAGCAAAATATGAAAATAAAATACACGAACATCAACGATTTACCATTAAACTCATCGATGAAATAAGCGATATTATTCCAATTGCTGTATCCATCTTAGAACAAATGAAAACAATGATCAAATCAGGTAAGTCGAGTATATTTTGATATAGAAACATTAGAAATAATTAACTCTATTTTAGACAATATTGAAAAATTGGTAAATGCCGGTTTATCAGTAAATATGCCTGAACCTAATGTAAAGAAATTATTGGAAACATTATACTCAAATTTTGCAAATCATGATTGTAATCAATAAAGTCTAATAATGTAGTGATTACTGATTTACGATAGAATTCATGTACATTCAAAAAAATGATCCATTCTTGTTTCTTACTCAATTCATCGTTACTATGTTTAGAATCAATTAAGCTTGATTCTTGTTTCGTCGAACAGCTCTTTTTATCCGTTGTAAAACATGGAATCATGGTTGTAATTATAAAATTTTTATGATTTTTCTACCCACGGGAACTATTTTTCTATTTATTGTATTATAATGCCTTGTAATGTGTTAGGTTTTCTATTGTGTAGGAGCTCGACAACTTTAGAAAAAACATGTCTTTAATGTATTGTAGCGCATTAACGTCACACGTTACGCGGAAAAACCTGCTAAAAGATTGAAATTATAGTTTTATAATGCATTTTTATCAACGACTTTCTCATATTTTATAATGTTACAACGCTATAAATTCGACTAATGCGTTAATATTTTGTATACCGTTACTAAGTTCCTGTCGAATAATAGGATTATGGCACTTTCGTCATTATGACAAACGCACTTTGGTCATGCATGACGAAATTTCCTTGGGAGGAGGCAGTCCTCGAGAACTGTCGTCACCAAAGTGTGAATTTTCTTCACACACAAAAAATTTCGTTGATGATTGGCACATTGGACGTTTACGATGCAAATACGACCGCAAACGGTGATTTACGGCGGTCGTATAGGACTGTATACGGTCGTTTACGGCAGTCGTAAAATTGGACCTGGATGACTTTTAACGTAACTTATTTCCTTACTGGAAGGAAGCGTATAGAAAAAACTAGAGGTCCCACTACGATAAACGAAGATGGAAAAGTCCCCGAAGTGCGAAGATACGTGGAAAAAAGAAGAAATGAAAGTATCAATAATCTGAAATTAGAGCCAGTACGAGTTGCTACTTGAAAGATAGAGATATGGCGTAACAAAAAATGCTATTTTTAGAATCAGGATTAAATGTTAGAAGTATACTTTTGTTTGATCTTGTTAGTAAACAAGAGAAAAACGAAGTTTCATGACAGACATATAGTTAATCCGTATAGACCTCTCTATTTGAAATGTTTTAATTATTTCAACGGTCACATTCTGTGTTAGTTTTTTTAAAACTGGCTTCTAAAACACTAGATTGTCGCAAAATTAACTTTTTATACACTGAACAGAACCGGTCCAAATTTATTTCTGAGTAGCTTATTGAATGAATGTACGGGCAGCAAAGTATCTCTTTATTCAAATCACTTTTCGCATTTTGGCACGAATAGTGGCACGTTTAATGAAGCGCCACTTTAAAATGGCGCCACTGTTAGCGCCAAAATGCGAAAAATGATTTGAATAAAGAGATACTTTACTGCCCGTACACTCATTCAATAAGCTATTCAGAAAAAAATTTGGACCGGTTCTGTTCAGCGTATAAAAAGTCGATTTTACTATAATGATTATTCTACAATTCAATCAGATATTCGAAAAATTCATCCGAAAGTGTAATCGGGACCAGTTGCAAATTCCAGGCATCTTTTCAACGAGCCGTTCACTGTTTCTGAAAAGCACGGTAAAAATATGCACGTAGCACAGGAAAAACGTGCTATCAGAAGTCCAAACTTCAATCTTCAATATGGAAGAAATAGCACGTTCGAGTAACAAAACAAGACGCTTTCAGCGTACTTTTTTTCTCTAATTGCCTTTTACCAAAAAGTGTTCCATTGCCACGCTCTAGCACCACTATCATACTAAAGGCTATCACAAGCACACTAAAAGTGTTCCAAGTACTCAACCTGTAATATATATATATATGAGTGATTCTGATAAAAATAGTACCGTTTTTGTGAAAAAATTTGACTGAAACAAAAGGTAAACACCTAGGTTTTTTCTTGTCATCTATCGATAGTGTGTACCTAGGAGTATCACAAAACATGGGTTAGCAAACTACCACTACTTTGTTTTCCAGATTTGAAAAACATTTTTCTATTGTCGACGTCAAAACACCGTGCACCTGGTTGTGTTTATTTATATATTATATTATATTCTGGTTGCATATTTCCATAACCAAAATTGTTTTCATAACAGTTTTCTGAAACAGGTTTTCTAAGAGATCTTTGGAAAACTATGCCATCTGTAAACATTTCCCAATAGGATTGTATTGCTTTTTTCTCATGGACTGATAGCCTGGGATGTCCTCTTCAAAATGGGGGTAAAGTGAGACCTTGATTTTTCGCGGTTCGGGCGTTATATCAGGTTTCCTACGGGTCCCAGCACTGGCACCCGGCGACTATTGGTAGCCTTAAAGACGTATGCGCTATGAGTAATCGACCATGCTGAGTTTCGTGGCAATATTTGTTTTTCTAAACAGTTTTGAAAATTTAGTGAAAACGTACATTAGGTGAAATATCCCATTTCTGCCCATTTTTGAGTAAAATTCAAAAATCCATAACTCAGTCCAGATCAGTCCAAGTTATGTCAGAGTATCAAGATGTACTCTATTTTACTTGCTCAATACTATGCAATTTAACAGAAGCGTTGAAAGTCGACAGAAAATACTCTGGTTTTTGAAAGGATTTTCTAGAAGTCTTCCAAAGTACGCGAATGTTTTTACTATTCTCAAGTAAAAAATCGTTTGGAGCAGGTAAAATAGAGTACATCTTGATATTCTGACATAACTTGGATTGATCTTGACTGAGTTATGAATTTTTGAATTTTACTCAGAAATAGGATATTTCACCTAATTTACGTTTTCACTAAGCTTTTGAAACTGTTTAAAAAAATAAATATTGCCACGAGATTCAGCATAGTCGGTAGACTATGTTTTCATTCATTTCTGACAATCTCAAAACTAACGGCAGAGAAGTCCTAAGGCTTCAAGGAAAATGCTCGTGGCTCCCGGACCATGAATTTTCGAGATGTCGCTTGGATCTAATTTTGCAGAGCACACCTTTTACTATCCATATATGAAATAAAACTGATAGATTCCTATCTAAAACGTTGGGGCTATAAACTGGTTTTCCAGAGATCAGCGCAAAAAGTTTTGATTTCTGCATATTATTACGTGTCCCGGTCTTGACTACACGGTGGAAAATTTCCGATCTCGATAGCTTGTTCCGTTCTGGAGTTATTCATGTCGGAATCATCCACACTATATTTTGAAATGGACAGTAGTACTTGAAGTTCTTGACCTATGGCCTGATTTTTCAAAGATCTCTTAAAAAGCCTACTTTCGAAAAAGATTTTTCAAATCTTTTCTCTTTAGAAAAGTGCACTCAAGTCTTTTCTTTCCAATGGTGAAGACCCGAGCTCTCTAGCTCTTTTTGTGCTCGACTTATTTAAAAAACGATCGAGCGCACCGAGTTTTTCGATAACAGTGGAAGAGAAGAAACAGGTTTGTAGAGAATCCCGTCCTCTAGGAAACCATCTTTTGGTCAGTCTAAATGCTATTTATGTACTTCATTAAATTCAACATGCTTCGAAACCTCTACACTAGAATTTGGCTTTATTCGTGCGTGGTATGTTAAAGTTAGGGAAGCCATCAAAAATAACTGAACGCGTGGAACGTGGACGTGGACTACATTCCACGCATAGAGAAGTTTGTTCTTTTCTGTCGATGTGTAGACATCTTTCTTTTTTCTTTTTCTCGCTTAAATGG